TGAGGTGAAGGAAGAGCTCCGTCACACTCAGGAGAAACTCCAACTCAAGGAGAGAGAGGTAGAGTCGAGATATCAAAGTGTACTGTAGCGCATTTACTGTACAAGTTTCACAATTTGATTATTTCAATCTGCCGTGTGTGTGTGTGTGTGTGTGTGTGTGTGTGTGTGTGTGTGTGTGTGTGTGTGTGTGTGTCTGCAGTGCGAGGAGCTGCAGACAGAGCTGCATGCCGTGGAGCAGGAGTGTAAGTCCAGCCAGGCCCGGCTGTCGCAGTGCAGGGACGAGCTCCGGCAACTCAGCCATCACCGCAGGAGACCGGTGAGCCGTGTGTGTGTGTGTGTGTGTGTGTGTGTGTGTGGGTGGGTGGGTGTGTGGGGCGGGGGTTAGGGAGTATAAAACACAATTCCTTGATATACTCAAATGCTCTCATTAACTGACAAAAGCTTTACATTAGTAAGACAACAAAAGCATCAATGTAGTTACAGTACAAAAGTAAAAAGTATTCACTCGAAACAATGGCTATTTTTTTTTTACCAATATATTGTATGAGATATAATTATCGATGCATTAATGTGTTAATCTTGATGTTAGAAAAGGGGAACTTATTTGACCATATATACTGCTTGGTAGCCGCAAAGGGATAAAAACATATGATAATACATAATTTATTGATTATATTTTTTATTCTAAATTTGAATCTTTAAATGAGTTAAAGATATTGAATACATGTGGTAAAGTACCAGGGATCAACATTGTGCTTAGTTACCTTACCTTACTGTATAGATGTAACTATATATTACTTTGTATTTTATATATTTCTTTCTTCCCTCTTTGTTTAGACGCGGTGTGGCTCCTGCTGGAAGGTGTGTTTGTTCCTCCTATTTCTCCTGGCTGTGGCGGGGGTTGCCATGTTGTGGCTGTGGCATCCTCCTTTCAGGGAGCAGGTTGAAGACCTGTACTCAGACATAGAAACACGTATCGAAGACTATCTCATGGACATGGCCTCTCCTCAACACTCAGGCTGTTTTAGACCCATATGATGTCAACATTATTTTATTGTCGTTTTGTTTTTGTTGCTTTTGATTATCTTTTTCTTCTTCTTTTTTGTCTGGGATGTAGGATGCATTTGGTTAATATTTTTGGATTTGATAAAAATGTTTGACTTGGAGCTCAAAGTTTGTGTGAACAGTTTTTGTTGCCATATGTGGGATGTTTGCAGAAAGTTCAAATACATGTGAACACCTCCAGTGTGAAAAATGTTTGTAATGTTTACAACAATTAAAAAGCACTGTGACTTTAATAGTTTTCTGACATTAATAACATTTTGAGGAACTGTGAGTTAATAGTCTCAAATAAATAGTGAGGTATTCTTTGTACTGTACATTTATTTTGTCAAAAGCACCCTATTTTATATTGAAAAAGCCATGTAAAAATGAAATAAAATATAAAGTCAAGAAAAACCTGTTCTCCACTGTTCTCAATTAAAGAAAGAATGGAGAGCAAGGAAAATGAAATAGCAATTCAAGTTTTACAGACATTACGTTCAATTAAAATATTGTACAAATGTGCCACTAGTTAGAGTCTAGAGTTCATCGTGCTTTGAGTTAATAAAATATTTGTAAGACACTGTTAACTAACTAACTTACTAATCTGTGGGACTAATAAAGGTATTCTGATACTGTTAAAAAAAACACTCATGTTTACAGTTTCATGGTTGTATACTTGTGCAATCTTAAACAAGGAAACACAAAATAAGACCCCAGCTGTCACGTCATATCGTTTATAGTTATTAATAAAACTCAAGGGTGTTCAAGTGAAACTAAATGCCTGAGCCCCACAACAGTATTTCTAGGGGATAGGGTTGCTGTACTTACTTACTGTACAAACAATAACTAACTTTTGTGTCGTGTTTGGGGAGCATAGTCATATCTTAAAAACAGTAATACTGCATCACACTGTGAAAATACTCATTTACAGTCAAAGTAAAGTCATTTTCTGCATTGAAAAATGATACTTGGGTTAACAAAAGGTATTATACAGTAAGCCCCTGTCAGAGTTAGTTTTTTAAACATAGACATTTTTGGTGATCACCGTGATGGATTAACATATGTATACTTTGTGGCTGTTTAAGGTCAAACACACTTTGACTACTCTACAGTATACTGTATACTATGTATTGTGTAGTTCAATCTACAACAGTGCAAAACATGTTTTTAATCATCATCATCATTATCATACCTCAACTTGCAAAGTAACCACAGCTATCAAATAAAGGTAATACATAAAAAGTACAATATTTCCTTAAGTTCATCAACATTGTTCTCAAGTACAGTAGGCTATATTTTAATAAATGTACTTCACTACTATTAAACAAATGTATCAAACCTTATTGCATTATCAAACGATGTATTGTATCAATACTGGACTATATTTGAACCAGTATCATCATATTGAATGGGTATCATTTGATATGATGATACTAGTAATATCCTGTATTAGGTCATTGAGTAACCTACATGACAGAAAAAACACAATACAGATCAAAAAGACATATATAACATAAAAATGACTGTCAGAGGGAGAAGCACCCCCATCACAGTTAAGAGCTCAGCGTTATTTATGTCAGTAATGCGATGGCACTCTGTGGTAACAACCAGCTCTCAATGCTAAAATGACAGAATAATATGTTGTAAATTCTACCCAAATGTTCATGAAACTGACAGACATGACCCATGGCAGTGTCTATTGTCTGATAACACTCACACTCAGAGACAAAACACAGCGCTGTTCATTGTGTTCAGTGGTTTTAACAGTTCCAGATAAAGCTCCATTCTCACCAGGCCCTGACACAGCACATCCGTCCGTTTACCTGCATGTTCCCCAAATACCCCGCCACCTACTGAAGAGATGGATCTCTGCCTGCCTGAGGTCAATCTCGTGGTGGAACTGACACCGAGAGTGAGAGGGGGCAAAGTAAGAGCAGAAGTGTTTGTTTTTTTAACATATTTCACAACAGGACTAAGAGGATCTTGCCAAACCCTCTTTGACTTTCAGAGTGATAAGCCTCTGCGAGATGAGGACTGCGGTTCTGCTGTTAGTCGCGGGCTTGTGTGTGCTGGACGCCACATCTGCCCTGAAAATCTGCGCGTTCAATGTTCAGAGCTTCGGTGAATCAAAGGCAAACAACAGGAAGGTTATGGGGATTCTACTAAAGGTATTTGACTGTGTGTATACAGCTAGAACAACATCTACACAAGAGTGAACAACTCAAAGGATCTTCTTTTTCTTTTGCTCCATAGATTCTTTCTCGGTGCGACTTGTGTCTTATTCAGGAGGTCAGAGACTCCAAAGGAGCAGCAATAAAAGCTTTGGTTAAGGATCTTAACAGGTACAAGCTTTCTCAGTTTCAAACCGGCTCATTCAAAGGATGTGGTAAGACCTCTGTCACACATTCAACTTTAAACGCATTTCTTCTATGTTGTTGTTGTTGGCAGATATGACAAATCCAACACATACTCCTATGTGGAAAGTGAAAGGCTGGGCAGGAAGAGCTACAAGGAGCAGTATGTTTACCTCTACAGGTAACCTATAATCTAACACCGCCAACTGCTGTAGAGGGACAGTTTAGGGTGACACCTTTAACATTGTCTTTTTTCCTCCCTCATCTTCTTCAGGACCAATGTACTGACGGTCAAAGAGCACTATCAGTATCCTAAACTAGAAGGAGACGGGACCAATGAAACAGATGTTTTCTCCAGAGAGCCTTTTATCGTTCGCTTTCACTCCCCAACAACATGTAAGATCAAACAAACGGCATCTTTGAAAACGTGCATGACAGGAAATTAGCCACCTTAGTATCTTAGTATGATCTGAGGCCAGTATCACATAGATACATGTATCACATGTTCTTTGAAGATGTTTTACTTATAATTGTTTTCTTGTTTTGCAGTGGTGAAGGATTTGGTCCTGATTGGTCAGCACACCTGTCCCAAAAATGCCATGAAGGAGATTAATGAACTGCACACTGTCTTCAAAGGGATTTACCAGAAGTGGAAGACTGAGGTTAAACCATAGCATTATTTCCCACTTATTTGTCCCACTCATGTTTTATCTATGTCTCTGTCAGTGTTCTGAAGCTTGGCCTCTTATGGTTAAGCTATGGTTTCTCAGTTCCACATATCATGAGATTTATGAGTATTTTTGATGTTTTGAACTTCCCTTTTTGCTTCCTTTCCTTCACTCAGAATGTGATGATCTTAGGGGACCTCAACGCTGCCTGCAGCTACGTCACCATCAAGGGCTGGAAGGCCAACCGCTTGAGGAGTGACCCCACATTTCGCTGGCTAATCGGAGATGACCAAGACACTACTGTCCGTGAGAAGACACACTGTGCCTACGACAGGTGAGTGAAGTACTGAAGAAGTACTTTACAATCACTCTTTTGGCTGTAGGGTAATGCCTTCAATACGTGTCTCCCTTTCAAACAGGATCATTGTCCATGGACGTGAGATTATTTCCGGTATAGTGCCAGGCTCCGCTCAGCCGTTCAACTTTAAAGATAATTTCCATCTCACAGAGGAGGAGGTAAACATGTTAAAAATATACTTTTCTTTGGTTCAGTATTATACTTAAAACGAACATTAATCCTGTTCTTCGTGATGTCTCTTTTAGGCTCTCGAAGTGAGCGATCATTTCCCTGTAGAAGTTGACCTGAAGCCCAACCACCGCTACCTCCTCCGCAACGAGCTGTAGGACAACCATCATCAAACCCGGATGTCTTCATTTTAACTGTTTTACTTGATTTTAGATGTCAAATTAAATAAAAGCTACTAACAAAATAATCACTGACAGCTATTGTTCTTTTTTTAATGACTAACTAGTCAAAGTTGCACTGCACTCATCTCAGTTACATAAACACAAATACATGTGTGTTCTTTTCACATGAACATTGTGTATGTCTGCAGGAGTTTATATCATTCATCTGACACTAAAACCACATCAAGGCTGACACACTTCATGAATTCATGAAGTAACTTCCTGCAGCAACACAATTTACTTTTGTGACTTCACTTCTTTGAGACCTTTTGATTATCCTCAGTTGTATGGTAAGGTTTAACTGCTGAAAACTGTTTAATCGAAGATAGTTGTTTAAATATGTAATTCATGCACTGTCTGCCTGACAGGAAGCCACTTGCAGCAACAACAGAAGAGAGTTACTGCGTCCTCTCTTCCTTTCTGAGAGGAGATCATCAGTATTGTTTGTCTTGATATAACTCGTACTATTGCTTTTCCTACTTGAAAAGATGGAGCACAGTTTTGCTGAACTACTCAGCGATGCTTTTTCAGGTAAGAAATATATCATGTGGTATGTATTACTTATTTTCTTTTTCATAATTTACTTTTATTTATTTGTCAAATGCTGATGTTGTTACAGAAACAGCAGTCCCATCTTTCTCTGATGGAGATTTGGACTTTGAGAACATACATTTTGAGGATAAATGTGAGGAAGACGAAACAGACATCTGTGCAGAAAACGTACTTGCAAAAGAAGACGAGGCTTTGCAACAAGAAGCAACGGGTCGAACTGCAGTTTTGTCTTGCATGGAAACTCAAGATATACGCAAGCAGTATGATGATATAAGCGACAATGAGGATTTTGAAGGTGCAGGGGTAAGGAGCAGCGTAAAAATACTCGAGGAAGATTATACAAGCTCAGAGTCCGAACAGGAAGGATCCGTCTCTGGGCAATATGAAGTGGCTGAGGCAGAGGATGTGGGAACAGGAGCGCAACCAGAGTATTTTTGTAGGTCAGTTAGCTGCAGCGATGAGTTTTGTGATGGTAATAAAGAGGACAGGGTCTTTGCTGAGGGACAACCTCTGACCCAAGGTGAGGGTGATGAGGAGGTGTCCTATTTTGAGAGAGTCCCTGAACGTAGCAATGAGATGATGTTAAGAAGTGATGGGATAAGAGAGGGAGATGAGCAAGAAAAGGAAGAGGACTTGTGTGACTCTGAGTGTGAGGGCATGAAAATTGAACAAGAAGAAAATGTTCAGTGCTTTGGGCAGGAGTTTGAAAATACTTACGGAGATGAAGCAGCAAAAGCCAGTTTGGAGTTTCCAGAAATATCGGTTCAAAATCTGAAGGATCTTATTGCTGAAGTTAACGGTGATGAAAACGGAGAGAAAATGAAGGAATTCTCCGGGGAGGAGCACCAAGACGCAGGTGAGAGCTTTGCAGATTATCCCTCAGACTTTTCTTCATGTGAATATGTAGGAGACGAAGGAAAAAGGCAAGAGTCAAACGCCTTGGCTTGTGCATCTGACAGCGAAACAACTGAAAAGCAAAACATCGCCCTGGAAAAAGATGTGACAGATCTAATATCAGATGTAACATGTATGGGACAAGATGAGGACACTGCTGTACTGATACCTGCCTCCCTCCTCCTCAGAGATTCAGAGGTGTATGAGTGCAGAAGATTGGATGTAGCAACTGGAGAAAAAGAGGTTGAGGAGAATGTGTGGGTTGATGCAGCTGTAGCAGAGGTAGAGGATGGAGGTGAGACAGGTGAGAATGATTCCTACACCTCCAGCGAGGTTCAAGAGCCTGAAAGCAACAAGAAACTGGAGGACACTGAAGATGGGGACAGTGCAGCGTCTTATGACGAGTACAAAAGGGAGGAAGCAGCTGATTTCAGCATAAATTGGAATCTAGACGTGTTAACAGCTCATCTGTCTGAAGAGCTGTTAGCCACAGAGGATATAGACGAGGTGAAAACACCACTTTCAGATGTGACTCAGCATCCTGCAGCAGAAGACGTCCACAGCTACTCAGTGGTACAGAGAGGGGATACAAAACAAACAACAAGCCCTTCTAACAGGGGTTCGCTGGATGATGACTTCTTCTTCAACACTGAAGCCTATGAGATCACCGAGCTAGGACAGTCAGGAGAAGATGAGTCTGAAGAGGAAAGGAACTGGGATGAGCAGGAGAGAATCAGGGCCTTCTACAAGTATTATGATGACAGCGATGAAGAGACTAGAAGAAGAGGTGAGTGAGGATGATGAATGGTAAAGTCTTTGTATATGGACAAATATTTTTAAAACAATTAATCAGCTTCCATTTGTATTTATTTTTTACAGAGAGGCAGATAAAAGTTCAGTTTTGTGCAGATCCATTGTCTCAAGTCATTCACTATGAAACCGACGAGTGGTGAGCAAAGTTCCTATTATTTATTCAACTTTCTGTTCTTGAAATGTAACAACAACCTGAGCTAGTAGACAATAAGTGTGTCTACTTTCTCATTTTGCTCAGCAGTGACAGAGATTCACACAGCAGCTCCACTGAAGGGAAGGAGGACCTGAGTTCTGCAGAAACATCTGAGGTTTGCACGCAGACTCCAATGAGCACACATGACAGCAGAGATGCAAGCATTAGTCGACAAACTGATAAGTCGATCCACAGAAAAACAATTACGAAATATGTTGAATAGTAAAGCCATTTTTCATGCAAAAATTGATTAACGAGGTATTCTTCTCTGTTTAATATCATATTATACGGAATATCTTTGGGTATGGAATGACAAAATAAAAGAGGGGAGGCATTATCTTGGACTTTGAGAACATGTAATGGAAAATGTTCACTGATTTCTGACATTTTATGGACCAAACAAGTAATCCAGAATCAGTAGTTTCAGCCCTAATGAAAACACACATAAATAAACACAACTAACTATTTTTTCCCTGCTTTCCGGTGTCCAGGAATTGAGGGAGATCGACGTCAGCAGGGAAATGACTCTGGCCTGTGATACCTTAAACACTCAACCACCAGAGAACATGCCTGATATCAGCGACACACACATTTGTAGCAGGAAACAAAAAGTGTGTACTCACTGACCCTCGCTGAACGTTCACTTTGTTCATTTGTTCCTGAACTTTTTGGTTACTTTCCCTCTCTATTCTTTCCTTTGTTCCTGCAGTGTTTCAACGTGCTGAAGCTGACACTGAAGATGTGTGTGGTGATTCTGACCGGACTGCTGATGTTCTGGTTGGCCTCAGACCAAGCGGGCTGGTTCATATAAAATATGCTTTTGTTAAAATGCAATATGAAGTGATAAACATTTAAACGTGTGTTTTGTTGACTGTAACATGCAATTTTCTGCTAAATAAAGATGTGTATATTCTAACAATGAGGCATGTATTTGTTTAAACTGTAGATAAGTCAAAATAATCACATTTGGTAAGAAATATAAATGTATTAGAAGGATTAAAAAGGCCTATTTCCAGGCACTCTTAATGCAATATAGTGGAAAAGTATTGAGTAAATTAACTACTTTTTTTAGATACATGTGGTGCTTGAGTAGTCTTTTGCTTCTGCTTTTAATCATGACAAAGATAAATATGATACTTCTGACAATTATATTTACCAGTAACTTTGCAGATAAGATATTTAACAAACAAAATAAACTTCGAATATATTATATAGATGAAATCGTGGTTTAATTTGTTTTTACTTTATGTTGTACTATGTACATTTAAATTATCTGAGTCATGTTTCTTCCACTGTCAGTAATTGTAATATTACTAACCTTAAAATAATCAGCCAGATCTTCGTAGAGAATTTAAAAGACGTTATGATTTGGATTCTAGATAAAAATTGCTCATTTGTGATGAACACATCGAATACATATTTTTAAAAAGACATAGAATTTATTAGAAGCCAGCTAGTGGCGCTGCTTCATTTCTGCAAAGGAGAACACAAAAAACCATAAAGAAGAATGTCTCAAACGGAAATGGAAGTGATGTAAAATTTGACAGAAGTAGCGAATGTTTTTAACATTCGGGTCAAGAAAGGAGGGCGGGGTTCAATCTCTCCATGTTTTCAAACTCCCGTTCGACTACCGCCTCCCTTTACTGACTGCGAAACAAAACGAGCGCCTCCTGGTCACTATCGGTGGGAGGAGTTATGGTTGTTGGTCTGGTTTTGGCAACCGAAAACAGACTAACCGAAAAAGAACAAACAATAATAACACAACACAACACAGACACCTAAACGAATTAATCCAGCCAGCAAAATGTCTTCGCTAAGGAGTAAAACTGCGAAGGAGATGAGCGACCTGCTGGACGAGTACGAGATAAAGCACGGGCCTGTGGTCGGTGAGTGGCTCTCAACAATCTCATACTTTGCGCCCGTTTTTTAATCAACGTAAACTCCACAGGCCTCCTCCTTACCTGAGTAAAGTTACTGACTTCACTCCTGTAGCACTGCCAGAATCTCCCTGGTTTCATGTGGACACTTGTTAATAATGTCTAAAACTACGTTTGGTTCTCAGACTCCACCAGAAGTCTCTATGAAAGGAAGCTGAAAGAAGCCATGGCCAAAGGGAAGAAAGCGAAACCATCACCTGACCAAACCTACTACAGAGAAGAGGGTAACTCATTATGTAACTTTACATATACACTCAGAACAGCAGTCAATATTAAAGCTTTACTTTTATGAATACATGTGCAGTAATAAAGTCCACTATTGTGCCAGAACTTTATAATTATCCGGTACAAATGGATTCAACAACAATTAATTCAAATGAGCCTCAGTCTTAAGATCAAATTGGAGCAACATAATTATACATGTTATTCATGTTTGTGTCTTAATTTCAGAGGAAGTCACCTATGAATACAGAACTCCTGTAAGTATTTCTGTTCACCCTTTTATGGTTGTATTTTTCCATTACATGCCTAATAAATAAGTTATACCAAATGTTTGCATTCAATCTTTCTAAAAGCAAACATCAGTACTTATTATCACTGCTTCTAATGTTGCAGGACAGGAGTGACGGTGCGGGAGACAGGTCAGCTTTTCTATTATCTGCTCCAAACATTAAATGACTTTCTTATATTTATTGAATCAAATACAAATACTTCTTAATCACTTATTTTTCTCGTCTATCTAGTGGGTCATACATGAGGTCAAGACCAGCTTGGAGTGAAAGGGAACTTGAACACGAGTGAGTTATAACTTTATAAACCTTTTTTGTTTTACTGGAAGTTGTCAGTATTCCAATATTTGAGGTTGTATTTCCCTCTCTACAGGACATCCTACTCAAACTATTCAAGACCAAAGCCTGAATACGGTGGAAAGGAATTTTCTGATGAGTAAGTATATTTATATAAAGTCAAACAGTGTCATCAGATCATTTCCAAATGTAATTGGCGTCACCTTTTTGACTTTACTAAAGTACTTTTGGTATCTCCATACTTTCCTTTTTAAATGTCTTACTCCAACTTGAAAAATATTGTACTCGGCACTCCTTAGTCCACTGCATTTATTAGACAGCTATAGTTACTGCGTGCTGTTAAAGATTATGTTTATAAAATATAGTGTTTCAGATTAAACTACCCAACATGATATCAAATATTACTATACAAGCTTCACCTCAACCAGCTGCTAGAAGATCTGAATATTTCCTCCAACAATGATTTAGTCTAAAAATGTCAGAAAATAGTTTCGCTGTTTAAAATGTGGTGTAACTGACATTGAATGGCCCAAAGGAGGCAAGACCGTAATTACGTTAAAGTATGATTTCAGGTACAAGGGTATATCATAGTAAACCAATGCTAACACCAGACTTCAGAAATCAGGGGTTCTTTGTAGTGGGGAATTTTAATTAGGTTCCGAAGCATAATTTATTCCATTCCCTTTCAGGCCCCACATGTACGACCTGCCACCCACTTCCAAAAGCCCCTATTTGAAATCGACCCCCGGACCACCTAAAGAAACTCCGAAGGCCCCGCCGTCGTCCCGCCTCGTCCCGCTCTGGGTTCAGTTTGTGTTCTTCGTGGCTGTGGCAGTCTTCCTCTACTTAGTTTTTTCCAGTATGGAGACAAATGAACCCATCAAAGGAATAGAATGATTTTGTTTTTAAGTCATGTTCATTTTATTGGGATGTTATTCTTTATTGTGGATTTTAATTGATTGAATGTATTTCGGTTAATGCCTTTTTTTATTTTTGACATTGCTGAAATTGGGCTTTATGCAATAATGTATGCGTTTTAAATTGCAGTTTTTTGCTTGCTTATGTTTGACACAGCCTCCCTACAGCAACACTACTAGAATAGATACTTTATAGACATATCCATAAAACAATGCACAAAATCCTTCTTCCTTTTAGCTGGACAGTAGAATTTCTGAAGATCATCCACAGCACAGTGCATTCACTGCTGTTTGGCACCAAATTAAAAGTAGAGTAGAAAAAAAGACAATGCCACAGCTGCACATTAAATATTTACAGACAGATATTTAAGGTCATTGGATTAGCATAATAAGACGTGTCTTTAAAAAGTGCCAATCTCAGTAAGTCTCAGCCACTATCAATAAATATCTCACTCTTTATCCACAACATACAATATTCTAAAGTATTACATAAAAGTGTACATCATACTTCTAAGACCCTTGTTTCAATTTCAGATTCAATCAAAGAGAACTTGTCATTTCTCCTGGTTTTAGGAAACTTATTTTTTATATCATTGGCACTAACTTGGAGAAAGTGTTTATCTATAAAAGGAAAAACACCCGGACTCATCTCACGGTGTGTTAACCAATAGTTGAACGTCAAAGGTGTGACCGGCCAGAACTATTTAGCGTCCCAAAGTATTACTTTTTTTAAGTGTTAAAGTTCTCGATAATAACGGTGTCTAATGGTCTATGATACTGTGTATATTAATATAAAGACTGACCAAAACCTTGTACTTAACATTATCTTGTGGTACAACAATGCTTCCTTTTGTCAGTTTAAAGAAATAATTATAATAAAAGTACAGATGGGACAGTTTTGAAACCAGCTGTATTGCAAGTGCCTCAGTGATTTTGTAGGAATAATTGGGGTAATAATTAATGTTTTTTCAGTGGTTAATGAGAAGTGAAATGTTTTCGGGTATCAATCTAAAATCAAACTGTTTATACAAGCTGTAAGGCTGTCGATGCCATGATTCAGTAGATATATCACACATTTGTACGACATAATCCAACCTTTCATTCTATAGTTTGATGTGGTGTGTTTTGTATTGCGGTTACATAATTCAAACTATTAAAGAGCTTGTATATGTAAACATTTGAAGCGTTTAGTAATTTATTCAAGAGCAACAATACGTTTAAATAATTGAGGACGTAAAAGTAAATGAATTGTAATATGCATAAAGTAAAACATTTGTCCTCTTGTGTATCTTGTTGCGATGCTATAAATCAAACAAAATTAAGTGAATCTCAGAAGCTCAAACATAAGCAGCATTTTAATCAACAACTTCTATCCACCAACTTTAAGTGCAGTAATGTACAAACTGAAAATGACGTAAGATGCATAGTAGGGTTGGATTGAAAATAATAAAGAAAATCTTATAATTCTTTAAGGATCATTGATCTGAAGAAACAAGTACATAATTAGCTAGTGGAGGCTGTTATTAGTGTTGCCTGGTAATAAATACAAAACAAGGTAATTACACAGACCTGAGGGACTAACGTCACATTCTCACAGTTCCCATACATCTGGCGTCATGGCAGTAGCCAAATCTGAGTGAAGCTGAAATCTAAAACTGGAAGTCCTTATTTACAGTCAGTCTTCTGTGGTCGATAGTTCAAATCTTACCATAATGCAAGGCTTAAAAGCCAATCCTATCCATTCTTCCCAGCAGAATCACTAGCCTTACGTTTGGCGTGAGGTCTTTGTTAGAGTCCAGCAAAAACGTTCTCATCCAAACGCTGCTGAACTGGGTCCGACCGAGCTTTTAGGTTGCGAGTCACGTCTCCTGCCGACTGAATCCACAATGGAAGCAGCGCGAGCCTTCTGACCGTCCACTCATCAGCGATTCTGCGGGAAGAAAAAATACAATATACTTTACTTTAATGCACTAGTGTGGCACAATTAAGAATGTTATATTTCCTGTGTATCAGGATACATTGATGCAAATCTCCTTTACTCTAAATATTATCCCCCTCTCCGAACTCCTTTGAAGTTTTCATCTTTTATTCTTTCACCTTTAACCTTGATTCAGACTTTTTGAAACTAATAAGCAACTAAGGATCCTTTAGTGTCAAATGAAAACAGAATACAAAGTAATCTAAATGAATAACCATAATAAAATACATGTTTCAAGTACTAGTCATCACTAGTGCTCATTGGTTTTAGAAGACACACAATCAGTTAAATAGAGATCGTCTATATGTGGTAACAGGGATTCAGTTCATATTGTTATACATACACCTGTAACATTTGCGACATACTTTGTTAAGCTCACACGATGCACAATACAAGAAAAATATTAAATCCTTTTTTGATTACTTGCTATTAATCAGCAAAACATGGGGAGGAGGCTGAATATTATTCTGTAGGCATCATATGTTCAAGAATCATGACATTATATACCTTTAGTGTTCTGTTGCCAGCACACCCCGTCATAGCTTGTTAATTGATAAGGCAACATAAGTGTTGTCCACACCTGGAGACAGAAGCACAAATATTACTTTCTGTGCACATACAGGATTTCACACCTCTATAGCTCAAAGGTGTTGATGGAAAATAAACGTACAGGTTCTGGTCTCTCGCTCCAGTTCAGTGGGCTTCTTCTCCTTGTTGCACAGCACCTTGGCCACAATGATTATAACGACGACGGCCACCACAAAAGTCAGGCCGGACACAATCCAGCTGATCACCATCGGACTCAGGACTGGGTCTGGGTCTGAGGGAGAGAGCAGTTATCTTTAAGTAACATACAGGATAGGTTTCCATCGATGGGATTTCATCTACTGCTGTGGCTAACTGATACAAGTACAGTTGCAAAAGAGTAACACAAAACAAGCTTTACAAGTCAGGAATATATACATAATACTATATTGATTAATATATATATGTTTTGCAACTCAGTTGTCTAACACACATCACATTAATGTTGCATGGTATACTAATAACCGAATGGTATCGCAATGCCATGCCATCAAACAAGGTATTATACCTAGTTCTATTTGTACTTTAAAAATGACAGTGTTTTTATAAGAACTTTTATCAGTTGAATCAGTGTGGGACAGTTTGGCTTTGTAAGGCTCTTCTTCCACTTTAACGCCCTGTTATGTAATGTTCTATTACTTTTCCTGATGTTTTAGGTTTCTTACGTGGCTTCCTTTTAGCATCAGTATCAAGATATTTAGGCAGGTATCATATCCAAATCACAACACTACTTTACTTACATATGTCATTCTTCTAACATGTTATTGATCTATGGTCTGTCTCTATATGAATGTCAGTGTCACCTCTGATGGCTATAGGCAGGGGCTGGCTTTCTCTGGAGATGAAGGTGCGTCCACCCATCTGGACCCGATACAGGCAGTAGTAGTAGCCCTCGTTGGAGCTCTGGGCGTCGGGAAAGGTGAAAGTGACGGAGGGGCTGAGGGCAGGGAGGGTCTGGCGCACGGTGCCGTTGGAGCGAATCAGACGCAGCTGGAAGGAACCTCCAGGGTACTGCTGGGGGGTGGAGCAGGTGATGTTGAAGTTGTGGCCTTTAATGACTGAACCAGCAGGGGCCTCAGTGGACGTGTTGTACCAGTGTTGGGGAGTCAGGAGTTCCACTGTGAACCATTAAAAGAACAATTAAAAAGGTTATTCCAAAAAATACAGAGGTTTAATCATGCTTAACAAAAAAGTCCCAACTCTACTGAACTATAAAACTACAACTTTCTTTTCAACCCTTACAATTTCCCGAAATATTCTCAAATGAAATGTCCTTTTTTGTTGGGTCATACTCAAGATACTCAAGATTTTTCTAACAAGTAACCAGTGAGAGCAATATTAACAACAAACTCAAAATGGAGAACATCTGGTAAGACATTTCCATTACATGCTGAATGCAACTGCCAATACCAATTATGATTTTGTCAACATAAATTAAAAAATGTATAATGAATGATCATTTAATTCAACAAAGCTACAATGAACCAAATAAATGACAAATCATGACAACACAGATGAGCAGAAAAATGTGTAAATAAATACTGTGGATGCAATATCTTTTTTCTGCGTCCAGTGCTGGCCCTGCATAATTTTGGTGGTACGGAATAAAACTACAAGCATCAACAGCTCAGACTTGACTCAATAGTCAGAAGTGGAGCTTTTTTGTTATATATAGCACACACTGTGTTATTCATTGCTTGAATTGACCACACTTAGCACCAACACTGTTTGGAGATCCAAATAAAGTGTGGGAAATTTCCCTTCAAAGATTTATTTGGGCAGAGAACAAATGTCTCATATGTTGCACAACAATGTGCTATGATAATGAGCTCTGGTGAAACAGAGTTAATATGGATGAGACAATGCGGCCGTGACTCACCCACAGTGATGTTGATGGAGTTGCTGGGTGGAGAGCTGAGCAGCTGAGGGGGGAAGCCGCTCTTGATCCTGTACCGACAACTGTAGCTGCCCTGGTGAAAAGTCTCTATGTCGGTCAGGGTCAGCTCCACCGGGGTGGGGCCCTGCTCCGCCCTCTGAGTGACCAGCGGTGTGGACACTCCATGCTTGTACAGGTGGAAGTCACTGAGGTGGTGACCCAGCAGAACACTGCAGCCAAAGCGAACAGCCTCGCCAGGAGAGAACACAGTGTGCGGTGACAGCAGGGTGAGGGTGGGCATTAGAAGCGTACCTGCGAGGAAAGGACAGATTAATCCAAAAATGTCAGTGATGTCATCAGGTGTTAAAGTACTCTTGAAAGAGGTAGGTTGAGGTCGGATAGGGAGGGATTTTGCAATGTTTGGCAACTCATTCTACCACCAAGGGATGACTATTATCTGGCTCACATTTAAAGATCTGATTAGTTTTGTCATAATTCATTTACAGATTCTGTTTGTCCAGGCTGGTTTTCTTGCTGTTATGACATTGAACTAATGCTAAGGTGACCCAGAGTAGGATTTATTGGTTGCTGTTTTTTTAAAACAACATTCAAAGTAAGCTCCTCCACCCTGACTCGACAAGGGTGAAATAGCTTGTCAGCAGTTGAAAGCCAACACCAAATGTTTTATTGTTTTTAAACAAGCTTTGTCCACTTGGCATTACGTCTTGCTTAATTTGCTTTGCTGTGTCTGCCATTTCCGTATGCCACTAACCAGAATAGGCTCAATGAATCAACCCAGCAGAAATCACTCAGTCAACCACCTGGCAGTGGCCATTGGTAGAGAGAATGACTCAACAGAGTAGAGTCTTACCTGAGCATATTACCCCTGCATCATTCTCATGGGTGCAGTATGCGTCACTGTGGAGGACCACAGCACAGCGTGTCAGACTGGCCTCGTGTCCCGAGCATTGGACATGCCGCAGCCAGATTTCTCCGCTGCCTGCACCAAAATGTGCTTCATGAAGGGCAGATTCAGCTAAGCCACATCCAAGCTCCAGGCACACCACATGAGCTTCTCGGCGGTCCCATCCGTGGTCGCATACAGTCCCCCACTGTTCATGGCGGAGTACCTCCACTCTGCCAGAACACTTGTTCTCCCCGTCCACTAGTCTGACCCCACCTGTGGATCAGAGGAAGATAACTTAGAGACAGAAAGTGGAGGCACAGGAAGAAGCAAGTCTATGTCACTTCCAGGCTTACCAAAAGCAGTAACTCCATCCCACAGAACACCTAACAGTCCTGTCATGAAAACACAAACATGCAGTTGTTATTGGGCCAATTCAGATTTAAAATGTCAACAATAGCAGCTAACTTCACTCAGTTGCTTTTCTATTAGGACTTAACACTAGCCAAATGTTTTTAGGACCATTTTAGTTAAGATTCTAGTGTTAAGTCACTCATAACATATTGATAACATCTCAAAAAGTCATACATGCGAAAAAACGCTTGTTCACTTTTTATTAGTAACCAATGCCATTGTGCTCACTTAAATTAATTGCTAAATAATCCCATTACATAATCAACCATAAACTACCCAAGCGGGTCCTGCTTCAGAGTTAGCGTTAGCTGAAAACAAGCTTAGCTGAACATTATTAGCTACCTGGGCTACATCCAGGGGGCTCACCTGTTAAAAGGATACGCAGGAGCATCGTTCCTCACCCTTCCATCACACGGCCGGGTGGGAAGGATGCCAGTTGTCGTGGTGATGATGCTGCCAGCCGTTTGAAGCTAGTGACAACACAAGACATCAGCTAGCTTGTGGCTAACTAAAAATAAGAGCTAGCGGCTCAGCAACTTTACTGACACTAACGGCGTAATCAACCACTGACGCTATTTATTTTACAAGCAAGTAGTTCTGGTCTGGAGATAAAGGGTAGTCCGGGTGGTTGTACCATAACACGATGTCCATGAGATAACGTTAGCAGAACTACATACCGTCAGGTCGCCATACTCATTACTCAGGTCAGGCTTTAGCTGCTAGCGGTTCTCCCTGCGGCAGACAGAGGTCAGCACCGCCGCAGCGCTGCAGTTAAAACCCATTAGAAACAGCCAGGAGCTGCTGCTACACACAGCACGGAGGTGGACAATAACTTGGTACTAGACCTAAATATAATGTAATTTCATATAGGCTATTTACAACAGGATTATTTCAAATTTCTGCTACTTTACTCTGCTTCAATTAATTGACATATTTCACAATCAGAATTTTGTTTATTGTAATTTTTCATATATATACAGTAGGCTATGTTTATGTTTGTTTTTTTAACATTTGAATTATCCAGAATATTTTATATTGTTTATATTTGATATAACATTTTTCATTCTCTATTCCACTTTTAAGTATTTGTATTGTAATGTCTGAACGATGGTCTGAACCAGAGCCGTATAGATACCAAGCGGCAAACTCTGGGGCAGAGCCGGGAGGCCAATAAGGAAGTGCCCAAACTGCAGTTCATCTATTGGCCGATAGGCGATGACTGCAGAAAGGAGCAATTTCCATAGACCCCCATGTTAAAATGCCCAACTTTACAGCAGAAATAAACATGTTTCTACCCCTGGAAGCAATACAAATTATTCTGGATATAGTTAGATATAGTTTCATGATTATGGATTGGTGAGTAAATTGTTTTATAACGCGACCCTTTTATTTATATTAGGTCTTAACGTTTTTGCATAAATTAGGGCGTGGTCACTCTGATGGACATAGGTAACATAAGATAAGAATAAACAAGTTTAAATGATTTGTTATTGGTTGTGATCACATTCTAAAGATGTTTGGATTATTGAAAAGTATACAGCTCCCTTTCATATGATTGTTGAGAGCTGTATCCATAAATGCATGTTGTGCTCAAAGTGCTCCAGATTGATGCATTTAACTTCAACATTTAAAAAAAGATCTTCCTGGGGGTGCATGCCCCCGGACCCCCATAGAGGATGTGAGGTCCACCCCCAAATAAAGCAGGTTCAAATAATTAAATTACATACATTTTCTTTTAGTAAACACTGAAAACGGGTCCCACAGACCCAAACAGCACACAAAGGTTAAAGGTAAGCATATAATAATGTTAAAATGTGCTAAATATATACACTGCAGAAAACAAAGAAAAGAGGAGTAAAAGTAGCTCACGACTTGTTTTATTTTTTGAAAGTAGCTCTCATCCTAAAAAAGGTTGGAGACCCCTGCATTAGAGCGTAAAAACTGTAACTATAAGTATCTGAAATAAATATGTGTATACTAATGAAACGAATACCAATAACTGTATTGCATTGTTTTCTTATGCGCAATTACTTCATACTGTCTATGTCGTTTCAGAAAATAACTGGCCCCAGCCCGGCACCCCCCAGTCAAATTTGGTCTAGAACCGCCACTGCCGGAAAGGGATTAGATTTATGATTCGAAAATTATAAAAGTAGGGTAGACATGTGGATATTATCCGGCTGAACAAAACGTGCATTTATTAAACAGGTTCGTTTTCCACAGACCTTATTTCGAGCTATTTTCCAAAATCCTATGGAGAAATCCCATTGCTTTTTTGTCGAGGGAACTCATGCGCAGCTTACTTCCGGGTTTTAGGACGCGTCACTGCACCACTCTATGATGCTTCTGTAACAGAATCATTTCCCAAAATTGGGATCATAAAGTATCTATCAATCTACCTACCTATACAATAATATAAATTAATTAAATAATAATAATTGATTTAATAATTATAATATATTTAGATATTGTACTTTTACCTGGATACATTTATCTAATAACTGTAATCCCTTGTTACTTTGAAAATACAGTCAGATAAACAATACAAAATGTATTGAACAAATAAATTATGTGTCATAAGTTAAAATAAGATAAAGGAAATTGACAAGCTACTGAGAAGTCACTAGGCTTGTTTGAGACGAGCTGCGGCTCGCCTCGAAAGTAGACGAGAATAGCCGATCGCAGCCGGGGGAGGTCTCAAAAAGCTCGCCTGAAGTCGGACAGCTCGGAGTCGGCTTCTTCTTCTTCTTCTTCTTCTCTCGGTTTTTTGGCGGATTTCAAACAACTTTAAGGTGCATACCTATGGAGCTAATTTCCTGCCATAACTCCACAAACAAACTAAACAGGTTTTACAAATGCCTTATGATTCACTAACAAACAAAACACCATCTACAAACTAATGAATTTAGTTTTGCAAAGAAAAAACGTATCTATCAAACAAACACATAACATTTTTCTAATAAATCATGTTTCAGAGACAAATTCAGTTTAGGTTTTACAAGTACACAACTTTTTTTTACAAGTGCACAAATTTGTTTTACAACTACAACACTTTGTTTTACAACTACAAAACTTTTTTTTACAAGTACACAAATTTGTTTTACAACTACAACACTTTGTTTTACAACTACAAAACTTTTTTTTACAAGTACAAAACTTTTTCTTCTCACGGCGGAATATTACTGCCAAAAGTCACGTGACTGGAATATTACTGCCAAAAGTCACGTGACTGAGTCACGTGACTTTTGGCAGTAATATTCTGCCGTGGTTGTGCTCATACACACTCACACATGCTCACTCACACATGCTCCACGGCAGCAGGGGGCACTACTGAGTCCATTGGGAAGGCGGGAGGTTGAGCAGAGCATGGAACAGCTCTTGCCAGCCTGATCATGACAGCGGTGTTTCTAGCGATCCAGCATCTGAATTTAGCGATCACAACGAAAACAGCCAAGACACATATTGAGCCCAGAAAATGAATGTTCTTAGGGCTGTAAATATAATAAGCCTTTGTCTAAAATAGACAACATTGTAACTAAGGAGATTTAAACTATACAGCGATTCTGCACTCGGTCAATCAGCTGCTCTTCATTTTCTTTCCTGCTATATTCAATGAGTGATACAAATATTTTTTACCATACGTTCTGAATACAGCTGATACTGTTGGACTCGGTACTAGTTGACTGCTACCAGAAATAAAAGGAAGTACTTTACTGTGTACTTTGTGAGTAATCCTCTGTCAGAGTCCCCTCCATAGTACATAATGCATGTTTTTTGCTATCTTTGATGAATGATAAAAGGGTCATTCCAGAATTGGAGGACAATTTAGACACCAACATTTTTGAAAAATGAACCTTTCATTTGATTATTTGTTGTTATGTATTTAGGAAAAACAGACAATAAACCATAAAAAAAAGTGATTTGCCCAGCTAAGGCATCAAATGTATATTTTCCAATGAAGAATTAACCCTGTTACTCTAATTATAGTAACAGGGTTGCAAGTAACAGGGTTGAAAATCAATGCTAATTTTAGCTTTTACCTCAGGAATTAATGCTAGCTGCACAATGTAATGCTATTGTCAAGGAATGGACACACTTCATATTATATTTATATTTATATATATTTAACAAAAGAAAGATACATTTGAAATTAATTTGTTTTTGTCTCATAATTTGAGTAACAGGGTTGCGTTTGTATGAGTGCCACACTCCTTCAAGAGTGACAAGATTGGAAATATATTACAAATAAAAGAGAGGACTTAGTTTTGGTCTACCCATGGTAGTAGCACATGGCTTGCTGATGTCCTTTCCACTGTGTCATGCGACAAACAGTTTTTTCACTTCCTCTGCCAAGCTAAAAAGGTTTCGGTAACAGGGTTGCGCGCATGTTGAGGGACACACCTTCTGTGCAAAATTACTGTTATTTAAAATGTGTTTATGATTTAACAAATTGATTTTACCATTACAAGACACATATATCAATAGAATAATACCAAAAAAGTAAATAAAAACCCTATTTTAAATGTTATAGTTGACATGCAAGTTGGTCACCAAGAAGCTGGGACAAGAGAAAAGGGCAATTTTAGGGGGTGTTCGAGAGCTATTTGATATTTTAAATAATATTTTGAAACCACTTTTTCTACAACTTTATATGCATCTTGTCTCAAGACAAGTATATTTAACACAACAAGTGCATGTCTTAGCTTTTTGGGCATGGATTATTAGATTTTTTATATGGGGGACATGAAATGTCCTCCAATTCTGGAATGACCCAAAAATAAAATGTTACCATTAGTTCTTAATGAAATTGATACGGTTTGACTTTGTATTAGTAAGCCTACTACTAACAATACATTGAAGTACTTTTACTGTGTATTTTTTTGAGAAATACTCTGTCAAAGTCCCCTCCTGAGAACAAAATCAAGCCACTTCTTCTAAGTTTGATGAGGGAAAAAAATATTTTTTGGGTGATTTAATGGGTGATGTAACATTAATGACAGACATAATATGAGGTCCTTGGCACTCTAGAGGGGTCATTTTGTGATCATGGGGCATCACCCTTACAGCATCAGGACAATATCATATGGAGTCAGATACTGGAAGTGGGCTGGAGGCGTTAACTGGGACTGATGGAAGGATGAGGCTGATGAGACTGAAGAATCTGCGAGGAACGAACTAGCGGCAGAGGAATAATTATATATTAAAAGACAGCAGCATCATAAGAGGGCAACCATGTGACAGAGTGTGTTACTTTGCTGAAGGATATTTGTGACCAGCTATCCATTCCAGGCCAGACTCTAAAGACTTTCCAAGGTGTGAAAATGCTGCTGCCGGAGTACTGACTGGAAGTATTGCTGATATCATGTCTACCATCCTCTTAAAATACTCTGTCCAACAATATCAGTCTCAGGAAGAAATGTTTTTTAAAGCTTATTAAAAGAAAAACATGCATTCTTGTACTCAGGAGGGGACATTGACAGAGGATTACTGGAAAAGTACACAATAAGTACTTCATAGTACTTGTGGGGGTAGTTTCAGTAGTACTGAGTCCAACAGGATCAATCTCACGAAGAACTAATGGCAACAAAAAAGAATTCCCTCATCAAACTTAGCAGAAGTGGCTTGATTTTGTTCACAGGAGGGGACTTTGACAGAGTATTTCTCAAAAAATACACAGTAAAAGTACTTCAATGTATTGTTAGTAGTAGGCTTACTAATACAAAGTCAAACCGTATCAATTTCATTAAGAACTAATGGTAACATTTTATTTTTATCATTCATCAAAGATAGCAAAAAACATGCATTATGTACTATGGAGGGGACTCTGACAGAGGATTACTCACAAAGTACACAGTAAAGTACTTCATTTTATTTCTGGTTGCAGTCAACTAGTACCAAGTCCAACAGTGTCAGTTTTATTAAGAACTTGTGGTAAAAAATATTTGTATCACTCATTGAATATAGCAGGAATAAAAATGAAAAGCAGCTGATTGACCGAGTGCAGAATCGCTGTATACAGGGGCGGACTGGGACAACAAATCAGCCCGGGACTCTCGACCGGCCCACTTCGGTACCGCCGGCCCACCTCGGTACCGCAAGTAAGCGGCCCACCTCGGTGGTGCCGCAAGTAAATACCGCGAGGAAATTGTCGACGGGGGGGAAGGGGGGGTGAGCAGTGACTTATCCGACCGGCCCACTTCAGTACCGGCCCATCGGGATTCGTCCCGAACGTCCCCTGGCTGTATATATAGTTTAAATCTCTTTAGTTACAATGTTGTCCATTTTAGACAAAGGCTTATTATATTTACAGCCCCTAATAACATTTATTTTCTGGGCTCAATATGTGTCTTGGCTGTTTTCGTTGTGATCGCTAAATTCACCTTGTTTATAATATTATCACTATAACACCTGTCATCAGACTGTCAAGGGCTGTTCCATGCTCTGCTCAACCTCCCGTCTTCCCAATGGACTCAGTAGCGCCCCCTGCTGCCGTGTAGCATGTGTGAGTGAGCATGTGTGACTGTGTATGAGCCAGCCACGGCGGAATATTACTGCCAAAAGTCACGTGACTCACTCACGTGACTTTTGGCAGTAATATTCCGCCGTGAGAAGAAAAAGTTTTGTACTTGTAAAAAAAAGTTTTGTAGTTGTAAAACAAAGTGTTGTAGTTGTAAAACAAATGTGTGTACTTGTAAAAAAAAGTTTTGTAGTTGTAAAACAAAGTGTTGTAGTTGTAAAACAAATTTGTGCACTTGTAAAAAAAAGTTGTGTACTTGTAAAACCTAAGCTGAATTTGTCTCTGAAACATGATTTATTAGAAAAATGTTATGTGTTTGTTTGATAGATACGTTTTTTCTTTGCAAAACTAAATTCATTAGTTTGTAGATGGTGTTTTGTATTTGCAAACCACATTGTGTTTGTTAGTGAATCATAAGGCATTTGTAAAACCTGTTTAGTTTGTTTGTGGAGTTATGGCAGGAAATTAGCTCCATACATAACGCCACCTCCGGAGTCGGCTTGACTCGGTTTGCATTTATAAATGCACACGGCATCTATTGCACGTCTGTCCGTCCTGGGAGAGGGATCCCTCCTCTGTTGCTCTCCCTGAGGTTTCTCCCATTTCCCCTTTAAACTGTGGGTTTTTCTCTGGAAGTTTTTCCTTGTATGATGTGAAACGTAAGGACAGAGGGTGTCGTATTGTCATACTGATATTCTGTACAAACTGTGAAGTCCACTGAGACAAATGTAACATTTGTGACATTGGGCTATATAAATAAACATTGATTGATTGATTGATTGATTGATTAAGAATGGACAAATGTGTTTAATCGTTAATGTCAGATATGTACTAAGTAAATACATTTGTTCCTGCTCAAGATTAGATTCAACTTTATTGTTATTGCACAGATTACAGGTACTGAGACAACGAAATGCAGTTTAGCTTCTAACCAGGAGTGCATAAAGCAGTAAAGTGAAAAGTAATGTACACAATCTACAGAATAAAATATAGAATAAATTGAATGATGAATAAACAGTGAGGGGTATGAATACACTATATACACAGTAGCCTAGCCTAGTATTAACAGTGTGTTGTATGAATATGCTAAGATATATAAAGTATGACAACGGTAAGCAGTGCAAGTGTAGTATACAAATATATAGATATTAATTTAATGATGATAAACATTGTGGAACAATGATGAAAAATGTGAATGGAAGTGGCGACGTAAAACTGACACAAAACAACAACACACTTTTGCCGAGCCAATGGAGAGTTTCATCACCAGCACGGGGTAAAACCCACCAATGAGCGCTCAGCTCGAGATACCAGCAAGTCGTTTCCCATCAAGCATTTCGCTTCCGCAGCCCGTGGAGAGAAACTGCGCCGCCTCGCCGCGCCTCGCTCTCAAGTCTGCGGGCGTCTTTGTCCCGCGAGATTTCAACGTCTCATGTAGGCGAGCCTCCAGAGCAAGTCGGACAAAATGACTAACCATCATGCAACGCACTAGCAAGACGTTGATCGCAATTGCGCAGGTCTGCGCAGGTCTCGCTTGTCTCAAACAAGCCTACTATCAGCTGTTTCATAGTCAAGTTTACAACGCATACAATATTATTCTGTTATTCCAAATTAAGATAGCCTTTTCCTTATTGCTTTATTACCACAGCAAATCTCATAAATAATTTCAGCTCTAAAAAACTCAATTGTTATAAGTAACCATTTACAAAGGGTTTATTTGTTTAACTTAACATTAATGGTTAATAGATAACTAAGGCTACTAATGCTTTAAATATCAGTTATTAGATAACATTTCCAAGTCTATCTTAATAAGTAAATACATGGCATATCTATATTTAAATCATAATTGGTTGCTGTTATTTATCTTATGATAATTGTTCCTTCTGTACACAAACTGTAGGCTGCAAAGATGTCATATGGGACCAAATCCAAAGTAGGAATAGGTTGGGTGTCTTCTTATTCAGTTTATTATTAATTAAGGTCCCTTTGACATAAAATACTATTTAATATTTATGTTAATCAAGGTCATAAAGGCTTGATAACGGCGTAATAGTAAAATGGCATTTTTTTCCTGTGCTATAAATGAAACACTGAACGTTGAAGCACAACAAGGGAATGTAGACTTAACAATCACATACTGTTGTCTAAACTTGTAGTAACCTTCATTTATAAAGAAGAGAGATAAATGGCAAAAGGCGGCCTAACATTGTTACCCTATTGTTCACTTTTCAGAGTGTGGAAAGAACAGACGGCAATAGGTAGCCTGCACTCCGTCATTATCCTTGACACAAATTACCATTTAGAAATTGAACACCAACACAAATCTCCTACTGCTCCACCCTCCCAGTTAGACCTTGTTTGTCATGAGGCAGTTCTTTCCAGTTGGAGAGAACAATGTGGATGAATCATACAAAAACCACACCAGGAAGAACACATCCATTATGCTGATTCATGTTGTGAAGTAATTTCATAAACCAAGTGACCCAATAAGTCCCCTAAGGCGTTGTTCTTCTTCCTGTCTGAGATGACTAGACGTTCTCGTGCCTGGAGAACATTGCGTTTTTTGTTCTGTAACCACATTTTTTTTGCATTTTAAGTACCTCATTTGTATCCATGATGGACTACGAGTCATCAGGAACAGAGTCACTTCCTCTCGAGGCATGTTACAGTTTGTGAAGGCAGGAAAACGAAAACAGGATTCGGTCTGAAAGAGAACTGTGGCCTGTGACCTATTGTCTTGGTGTGTAAACTAATACAAATTCAACTCAAGATTCAAGACTGTGAACACTGCCAAAGGTAGCTCACAATTGATTTCCAACTTTAGGCAGATGATTACTTTTGCATCCAGGTTATGTTTTACTTGGTTAATGTGCACACATTTTATTTTCTCCATGATACTCAAAGTCATAAAAGTTGAGCTCTGAGTTTAACCGTGATTTAAAGAAATAGAGCATGAAAAAGTCCATGGGGTGTGAAAACTTTTATATGGTATTATGATATGAGGAAGACTTGTTTCCAGATCGGAGAATGTATGTGAAGCAGGCATTACTGGAAAAAGACAGTAACACATCTCAACAATGAACAGTATGTGGATGAAAATTATTAGAAAAAACACATCCTGATGTTCAGTCCCAGCATTAACATACTACCATTCAAATAGAGAGCGAAGGAGAGCATTGACTGGACAGTTAAGGCTGGATAAATAAAAAAATAGTCCCAAAAGGAGGAAAACAAAGATCCCTTAAAAGAGAACTCTGACTATAAAACACTTTTTATCTCAAGTTATTTTTCTGTCAAATCTTCGCCAGATAGCAATACATCATTAAATGAAATCAACAGAATATTTGGACTTCAAAATAAACAGCCAACTAGTCCCTTGTGTATTGTGATGTTGCCATCTTTAAAGCACAACAGTGCTCGGCCCTTCTGCTTTCATTACTTTAAAAAAAAAAAAAGGTAGATTGTTGTATTGTCAACCACCAAGTAATAAAGTTTCTTGATGCATTTTATTGATCCATTGGTCAAATAAGCATCCATGCTCTCATATTGTAAAAGGTCTCTTTTCCTACAAAGAAAAACATACAGATACCCCTGTATATAACTATATATATTAATGAAAATATGATACATTTCTCTGTAATTCAAAACCAGCACATGGTATTTGTGAAACGGAAATCTCTAACTGATGTGCGTGCTCATTACATTGCAAGAAACAGCACTATTAGCACATTATCTGAATGACTTCCCTTCATTAACTAAGAGAGTCAACCTGCGCAGTTATGTGTGTTGGTACACTGATAAAAATGAAACAAACACGGTAAAATAACAAAACATAAAATAATTTAATTAACTTAACACTAGTCTTCTAAAAAGATGACCTCTTTCACAGGTTTGGAGTTTTAATAAGTACCACAAAACTCCTTCAGTTATTTTTGATGAACTAACAAGCTTTCAATAAAATAATGTGTTTAGCTCTTTGGATAACAGTACAACCTGCTTCAGTTCCACCATAAAAGTCTCTGTAGCACCACATTAAACCCAGGTATGTGGTGCATTTTCAAAAGTCACTTTCCAAACGTGTCGTGGGATTTTTGTGGCCTCCTTTGTTTGGCAGGAAGATCCCAACCAAAAAGCCTTCTCTTCACTTAGACTCTCCCAGCAGATGGACAATGAGTTCATAGCTGGCGAGGACGATGGCCGTGTTGGGGATTTGTCTGATGAGCTGTGGAATGAGTCCTCTATAAAAAGCGGCATAGCCTTCCTCCACCGCTATCAACCTCCCCGTCTGGAAGAAATATTTGTACTTGCTGCCTTCTTCACGCAGTCTTGTCCGAATGACCTCTGTAGAGACAAACAAAAGAGGGCATAAGTCATTGCCATAAATACTTCTCCCTGGCATTATGTTGTGGATTTGAGATGTTTGAGACAAACATTGGATGCAAGTGTTTACCGTGAGGATAAGCTATGCAGGAAGCACAGCCCTTTGAAAAAGCAGCTGCCAACATCAGACCCAGGAAGACCGAGGCTCCCTTCTCCTTCCCATTGTTCGGGGAGTTGTATTGGTTCTTGGCGAGGTGTTTCTTCAGTGTCTCGTAGATGAGGAAGCAGATCATGGTCTCCGAGATGCCGGCATAGGATGCAGTCAGGCCTCGGTAGAAGCCCCGCACACCTTCTGTTTTGTGAACATAGCGGGCACACTGCAGTGCATTCATCTTCTTCTCCCCTTTGGCTCTGAAAGTCAAACAGGTCACACTCATTAGTGCCAAAATTACATTTAATGGGGTGTTTAACTGATGATCATCTTATCTTTTTTTAAATATGCAAAAGATAAGATGATCATCAACCGTTAAACATATATATATATAAAAATCATGCAGTCTACAAAATGCAAAAAAATAATGAATTGCTATCCCCGGAGCCTGAAAAGTCCTACAAACTAAGGAGTGTCTACTTGATAAATAATGAATTAAAAACCCATTTTTCAACTCTTTGAGAAAGCATGTTACATCCTAGTTACCTTCTTTTTCTTTTTTTACAAGTGTAGCCATAACTGAATTTAGTTGACATGATTCTATCTTTTTTCTCCCATCATTCAGAAAGACAACTATGTTGTGTTGCAGAACAGGTGTTCTTTACTGTGTGAACAGACTTGAGTGTCCTCACATGATACTACTACCCTGCTCTGTGTAAATATAGACTCTTATCCTGCGCACAGGACAGTACGTCAGCACTGTTTATTTATGGAGCTGGGTCACACGCTCAGTCTCACAAGCTGCATAACCCAAGGACACTGCCATGATGGCGGTCACGAGTAACGGTTTCTAAAAAAGGTCACATTTTATGGAGTTCCTTCCCACACGCAGGGTCCCCTAAAATAAGTCGGATTGTTTTACACGCTCGAGCTAACAGTGTAAGCAGCACACACAGGACATGTGAAAGTAAGAGGATACACACCTTTTCTCCAGCTGCATCCTTGTCTTGACCATCCAGATGGGGTTCATCAGAGAGTTAGTAAAGAAAGCTGAAGATGGATGAGAAAAGAAGCATCTTCATATGCTGAGCATTGTAACAAAGGATTCATGTCATTCCCTCAATGTAACTCATAAATAAGTTGTAAGGTGAGAAGTGCTGTTGTTGCACTCTAATTCACTGAAGGGAATTACAGCAGTATTACATCTGCAAAAATAATGCAGTCAAATGTACTTGCCCTGTAATAAATATAACCCTTTTCAAGCTAGTGATCATTTTATTGACTTGAAAATGGGTTAATGTTTGCATTTATCCACAGGTGGGACAAGGCAGTTAGGCTTTAAAATGATGTATCTTGAATTAGATATTAGATTACATTACATTTTACAGTCCTTTATGTAACAAAGTCTAACTTGCAGCCTGCTCACCTGCAACACCAGCAGAGGACATGTGCACCAATCCACAATTAGGGACGAACAGCCCATTGAACATCTCTTTAGATTTCGAGTATGCTGCAAAGTAAATGGCTCTGAAAAACAGAGAACAAACTGATGAGAACTCTATGCTGGAGCGGCTGTAAAGATTAACACATGGTGATTAAACAGGAGTGCACTTTCAATATGTGAATGTGGTTTTATAACAGCTTGGATATTATGTGATGATTGGTGATTTGTGTTGGCCTTTGACAGAGTGCATCCAGAGCAGTCTGTTTCCCGCTGCGTGCCCTGGCTTCTGGAAAAGACTGTCAGTGCACCAGAATGGGCTGAATAAGCACTGGGCAGCACCACAGAGACCCACAGCTGCTCTGAATGTGATCTAACCAAGCTGACCAGTGGAGAAGAGGGACAGTTGAATCGCTGGGCAAAGGATCACACTGCAGCTACTCATTAACTATGGGGAAAGTACATGTAACCCATGACTTTTTTCACTTTGACAGAGTCTCAAAGTCTAAATCAACAGTTTGTGGCAAATGTTTCAGGACTCACTGTTTGTTCATTATTATACTGTTGCTTTGGGGGAAAGGTGACTTCCAAGATTATTAACCATGAAACAGGGCAAAGTACTGACTATTTGTTGACACTTGAAAGGTAAAGTTCACATGGTATACATATAAATGACCAAACTGTTGTGTTTGACTTAAGCCAGCCAATTATTATCCAGCCATCATAATTCCCTTCTCTGTCTGACAGTAAAACCTCAAACACAGTTCCTTATTGGTTCCACATCTTACGTGTCTCGTGTTCCGGGCTGGAATTTCAGATTGTTTCCATTTAAATATTGTTACAAATATGTAATCTAAAAATGTTTTGTAAATAAATAATTGTGAGAAATGTCAGCCCGGGTTTTCAAAAAAGCAAGAAGTGCCTTCAAATGTCTTTTTAATACAAGCCTAAGAAAATACATCTTTATGTCATATTTATGATCGAATAGCAGCAACTTTATCAATATTAGAAGCAAAATAAGCGTTGTTTTTTTGTTGATAATCAACTTGCTGATTTGTCGACTAGTTGTTGCAGCTCTACTTGTGTTAAGAAGTTTAACCAAATAAGAGTACCAGGGCCTCATGCTGACAGACGCTGTAACCACCCTGGACTAAACCGCTGACTCAAAAAACTCGGAAGCTGTTGCCAGGACAACAGCTTCCTGTTTATATGGGCAGTCTATTGCTTTCACCCATTAAAGTAAAAAATATAAACACAGCCTCCTCCTTTTTGCTTTGCTTGGCGAGTAGGTGTGGTATGTTACATGGGGAAGTCTCCTGACAAATTAAAAACAACAGACTAACCCGCTGATTAAAGATATTATAGGAAAGGGTTTTCTATTAGTAGGCTCAACACAATTGTGACTAAATGCAAACAATGAAATATGTATGTTACTTTAAACAGAAACAAATATGAGAAAGAAAAGAGTCGTGTACAGAGCCATGGTCCATTGTCCAACAACACTTTTGTTAATACAATATCTGTATTTAGGAAATTGTAATTTAACTGTTTATGTACAATTGATGTTTTGCTATTTTTGTGTTTGGTTTAAAAGGATGATCATTTTTGTTTTCACTTCTTTACATAATTGTTAGTTACATAAGATGAGCTCTTTTTTGTTAATGTTTAGGTGGTTTTAGTGTGTTGTGTTTGTTTGACTGTTTGTGTGAGAAGAATAGCTAATGCTCATGCTAGTGCTAAAGGGAATCCTTACAAAGACAAAGACTTTTCTGGGAATCCTCCACTAAGCCGCACTCTGTGGCCTCCTTAACCGCTTGCTTTGCGGACTTTGTGTGTCCGTACACCAACAAGCCGGTATCATTGACACAGAGATTGCCATGTAGTTTCAGGACTTTGTTTAACAAAAGGGCGATTTGTAAGGATGGTGGGGAGATGAGTGTATTGTAGTGCAGAAACTGAACTCACTGTACCTTGACGGGGCAACGCCAACAAGATTCGGCCCAAGACCACGGAAGAGTGATCTCGGTCCCTCTTTTTCAAGAATTGATCTGAAGCAAAAAAGGGAACAATCATCAAAAACATGTTTATATAGCAGAGATTTAATCATATACATGTTAAACTGTCTCTTTTATAGCAAAAGTCTGCATAGGATTATCCCCACCTGCTTTATTAGGGGAATGTAAATGATAGCCTCTGCAAGCATCACAAGTTTAACGTCAGTCCTGTTCACTTGAGCTGATTTTGCATAAGTTCAAACATGAAACCCGGTGTGCTCTCCGCATTGCTTGCCTTGTCACGTACGACCAACCCCGACAGGTTCTTTAAACTATTTGTAGGTAGTGAACTTGAACAACTCCACATGCCTGGGTTACGCACTGGGGGAGGATACAACTGTGTTTTGGGTTGAGGTCTGTTTTACAAAACTTGTCTATATATCAGTGTTTACACATTCCACCTCTGTCTTACTGATACCCTACAGATCTTCTCTAAAAACGAGTGTAAAAAAAAAACACAGAAATGCAGGTTTCAATGACTGGAGAAGGGATTTAAGTTCCAGAATTTGTTTAACACAATTACAACTCTGCAAATGCAAACCATTGTCTAACAGCTCAAAAATATTTTTTTTTTTTATCGGCTTAAGAACATTGGGGAAAGATAGCTTAAGTTTTAAATTAATTAAATTAAAGAAACTGTCTCCGAATCTTCTTGTCCTTGCCAGGATGACGTTACCGCAGCATCCTGGCAAGGACAAGAAGATTCGGAGACAGTTTCTTCCCGCGGGCAGTGAGACTGTTAAAAGAATTGAACTGTTGAAACAACTTCAAACATTCAACTGCTACTCAGTAGTATGTATCTAATACCTAATATATATATATCATTCCAATAACTTGTATATAGACTCATACTGCACTATTCCACATCATAACTTTATTTCATTTTTATAACTATTATTATTTTTGTATTGCTCTTGCTCTTATTGTTATTATGTTATTATGTTGCATTGTTGGAGAAGCCTGTGACATAAGATTTTCAACTGCATAATTACTCTGTAGCTATGTCAGATTGACAATAAAGAACCTTGAACCTTGAACCTTGAAATTGTCAAGCCTGTATTTCTCAGTCCTCTCAGTGTAATACAACCCTGACCCAGCACTCAAACATTTCCTCCTTCATCTTGGCCCGCTGGGGGCTTCTAGTTTACACCAACCAAAGCAGTTATACAAGGGCTTTGATGAAAAACAAACACTTTTTTTAATGCGTTACTTAAGTCCCAGTAGAAAATTATGTTTTGTTCCATCCAAAACAGCTGGTTAAAGACACTTAATACGGACATGATACTGTGTACTTAATCCTCACACGCAAAGGATTTGAAGCCTAAACAGTAAAACTAATAAAGAATTACGCAAATGACAATTTGTCTAAAGCATTTTTATGGACTAACTCAATAGATTGGTAATAAACTATTCCAAACAATAAAGGTTATTTTACAAATCTGTCACATGGACACCTCAGACATGCCTTAACAATGAGGTATTCACAGGTTAAAAAAACTCAGCAGGTCTTCACTACAAGTAATGGCGCATTTCCACTACACGGCCTCGCTCGGTATGGCTAGGCCTCGTTAGGCCTTGTTAGGACTGGCTCTTTATGGCGCATTTCCATTACAGTTGAGGAACTGGGGTAGTATCTATAGTAACGCAGTGTAGGCGGAGCCGTGACGTCATCTTCAATGAGAACCCCAGAAAAACATCAGCCGTTAGCTGTTAGCACTCAAGCTCACAGCTCCTCATATCTGTTCAGAAACTAGACAAAAGTTAAACAAGTACAAACCACAGACTGTCTGTGTCATGGCGAATACAGTCGCTGGTTTAGTTATGTCTGTATAGGCCGTTGTTGTGAGTGTGGACGGTCGGAGCATATATTGCGTTAGCTTAGCCGATCTCCATTTAGACGACACGCATTTTAAAAGGTTTTTTGCCTGCCGTCTGTCTGCAGACTTGTCAAAGCATTAATTCATGGTTTTTACTAACCGGTATCAGTATGTTGTTACTTCGGCATCATTTTGAAACGTGTATTACAATTAAATCACGGTCAAATATGTTCATCTTGTTGTAGTTGTAGCCCCCTTGCCAGCGATTCTCTCTCTAGTTTAGCATACTCAGCCCGACTCAGCCTGGCTGTTGGCCCTGAAAGAACCTCGATTTTATGGGGCCAGAAAAACTGTGAAATAGTACCCGCTAGCCGGTACTACGCTAAGTGGAAACGCAACCAAAAACGGGCCCGCACGGCTCGGCACGCTTAAAGTGAGCTCCGCGCTGTAGTGGAAATGCGCCATAAATCACCAGCTGACCATAATGACAGCACCTTCAGGTTAGTCCTTATAAACAGAAATATGCACCAGCTGTGAGGACGGAACACATTGTTCCTTTGTGGCAGGTAGAATAATACAATAATCTCTTGGGAAATACCACATAGCAAGCTGAAGTGCTGTTTTTCTAACAACAACAAAAACACTCCTCTTACCGTAGGACCTGTAGCAGCCCGGGTGTAACAGTCCCTGGTCGAATAACCCCGGTGCCGCTTAGGGTGCCAAGCTGCACCTGAAAAACAGGCCTGAGAGCGAAGGCTGAGGACTGCAACCGTGTCTTCAACACCTCCAGGGGGCAAGTGACGATGGCTCCCACCGTACCACTACACCTGCAAATAAAAAGCATAAAAATAAGGACAATTAGGATAAAAATCTTACAAAATAGTAAGCAATATACCAAAAACAATGCATGTATGTATACTGTAAGTAGAATGGTTCTATTATTTGGAAGATTTCTCATTTCTGTTTTGACTGGAAGAGTGTGTTTTTCCTCACAACACACACTGGCCAGGTGCAATTATGGTTAAAGATCAGTTAACCTAACACTGGTGCACAAGGTGTTACGTGTCAGACGCTGTAATTGCACATGGTCAGTTTTTTGCGTGACGAAAGACTGGTTTAGATTGCACTTTTCCCATTTCAGCATTTTTCATCATTATTTTGGTCATTTACAGTTCACAGCGGTACAGCCAAAGCCTTGTCTGGGACAATTTAAGAAGTCTGGGAGGGATTAGACAAAGCCCTCTGTAATGTTTGTGTCTGAGGGACAGAGTCAAACATGTAAGCCAAAGTAAAAAATGACCTGGTTATGAATTACCTGATCGTTAGTCACCTATCCAACCATGTCTGAGTGTTTTATCATTGAATATAAAGAAAACAGTTACACTTCCCATTACATTATTTTGACAAACACATGCAATCACGTTGGACATGACCCCTGACTGCAAAGATAAGCAATCGAGGGGAACTGGTGAAGTCCTGTGAGAATGACAACTGGCCTGTAAAATGTCATTGTGTTAAGCATTAAGCATTAGATTAAGTTAAGCATTAAGCATTAGATTAAGTATAGCTAGTAACTGGAAATCTACTAAAGGCTGTCATACAAGTTTGGCTGGTTTTCCGAGGTTACATTGTTCCTCTGTAGGTTCAACATACTGCACACACTGGATACAGTTAAACTAAAAACAATCTGGTAAACAATTGAATTACCCTATTACAAATGTCCCTAATTTCAAGCTGTACACCCCTTTGCTCCATGTGCATAGATAAAGTTATATAAAACGTGAGCTGCAGTTATAACCTCAGGATCATCATAACACTTCAAGGGTAAAATGGCGTCATTTTTATCAAGCCGAACATGTTTTAATGTGACCTTTGCGTCACCTGAAAGCCACAAAGCTCGCATACATAGCACAGCAAGTCTTCACATCATAACTGGGGGTTCACAAGGACGTTTTGACCAGGTGGTGATGATATGTTGGCACCGCTAGCATGAGGCTATGTACAGTATAGCTTTTCTGTTATGTAACGTCAAAGGGCACCGCATACAGCCTGACCAGTCTTGTGACTGCGCCACGTCCAAACAACTTTCAGCCTTGAGTTACACAGAGTCAGGTTTTACATAGTGAACAATAGAGAACATAACGTTATTTGCATTACGAATGGGACATAGTTACCATGCTAACGGTAGCTATCAGGCGTTAGCAAACAGCTGTGCCATTGATGTTGCTGGGTGGTGCATTGTCACGGCAACAACGTTAACTAGATTTTTCCTTTAAAATGTTAAAATCAAACACAAACGTTGGCCCGAGCTTTAACCCAACCGTAGGCTTTAGTGTTAGCATGAAATCACCTGAAGGACACAGTGAAAGAAACATGATAGATTGGTCAGATCGTGTTATGCTAACACGAGCTAGCTCCTGTTAGCATGCTAGCCGGCGGGTTTTTAAACCTGAAAACATGTTAGATAAACGAGTCATTTTTAAATGGTTTCATACAGGGTTTTCAAAAGAAGATACATGGCTAAAACACAACGTCGGCGGTACCTCTTCGTGTTTCATTTATCAGTAAGTTATTTATAACATTACTCCGGTTACCAGCGGTATGTGACTTACCCCCCGGCGAAGAGATTCAGCAGCGTGTCTTTCTGTGCCATCTTTTTCCTCTCACACAGCCACCATAGTCGAGTTATATATCGGGTTAAATGAGCGTCTGTATCAAAGGACGGTTTAAGATCCCGGTGTGCTGCCGTTCACCTATCTCTCTGTACCGGCTCGGCGGACCTGTCAGCGGAGGCAACGGCGGCGGGGTGACCTGCTGCTCCCGGTTTACGTCACGGGAGGGCCGGACGGGGGCGTTGTCCGTGACGTAGGGACATGTGCTCAGATCCTTGCGGTTGTTTAAAATTATGTTGCACAATTATTACCTGCGAAAATAAAAGGTTCAAATAAAAACAACAGGAGAACAACAGGTTGTATCATTGATTGAGTTGACTCACTGTTTCAAGTGTTATCATGTTATGTCTATACAAAACACAAATCTTCATTTACAACACTATTATTACAATGAATTCTTCTTTTTTTACATTACATCATAGTTTAGTATGTTTTTCTTTGCACGACTAGTATAGTTTACACATTTCAGAACACTTGACTTGTACATAGACTTTTTATTTTATTGTTAGTCATTGATGCTTTGTAATATAGATATATTTTATACAAACCAGTAAACGTATTAGTTGTGTCTTTATTCATCAACTTTAATGTCTGTTTCAGATGTCTATTTCTGCGTATACATTAAAAGCAATGCAAAAAGTGTCAAATTCCTTGTATGTACACATTCTGATTCTTATAATTTATTACAACACTATTCTTTTTAACTTTTCTAGTGACTAATGACCACTACTAATAAGAATTTGCCATATCTTGTATCTTGGTGAGGATGAAAATATACATTTGATAAACCGTCTCATCAGGCAAAACATTTTCATCAGATCAGTTATCACATCTTGCTGTTAGTAGTTGCTTTATCAGCTTTACACGCCGTCCAACTCTTGGTCTACCTGTAATAATGTTGTTCCTCTGATAAGAAAGGGACATAGGTCGATAAACAAATCTAGAAAAACAACCCATGCTTTTTTAGCAGGGCAACAAAGACCTTGATTTCAATTGGAGAAGAAATATGACTCCATGCCTGTTAACTGTGCCATAATGAACATGTGATGTTATGGTATGTTGTGTGAACCAATGAGCGGTGTGCAATTAAAGTTGGTATGCAACTCTTTAACCCTGATATCTAGGCTTTAAATCTACAAGAAGTCACTATCACCTTGTTTGTCTTTTTTATCCGTGTCATTGTGTCAAAAGTCTCGCCAAACCATCCGCGCTTTCTTTATGCCCTATTTGAAATCATAACATGTTTTTCATCCTGAGTTGACAGTGTACACTCATTCTGTTATTTGCATGTAAACAAAGTGGGTGTGAGCAATGAAGTGCATTTCACAAATTGCACGATTAGGTGGGTGTTGTTAGAAATTAAAATCAATATTCAATGACGTAATTTAGTTTAAACGCACAGTAAGCTTTGTCGTAGCAGCTTTAAAATCAGCTGGGGTCTAGAGAGAATAATCAGTTAGGTGACAAACGTACAGCAACACAATGTTCGTAATGAAAGCAATAAGGATCTTTATATTGGCAAGTATGACGTCCCCTCCAAATGAGGGCGTACTGTTCTGAGTGAACCAACACAAATCAACAGTGTCTCGCAAAGATGAACGCTTTGTCATTGAATGCAACACAGCGGTTAAAACTGAGTACACTTACATAAGCACTTAACCTAAATACAATATTGAGATATTTGTACTTCATTTAAGTATTTGTTTTTGATCTTAATTCACACATGTAGGCCTACTCCACTATATTTCAGAATGTCTATACTAGTTCTGGTTACTTGTAAAATGTTCACATATAAAAACATATTGGTGTGGTTATGAAAAATTATATATTTGAATATATAACACTAAACCAGGGAATCCCAACCTTTTGGATCCCAAGACAAAATATAGAAAATGTGTGTCTGGTAAGAGTTTCTTGTCACAATTCAGATGTTGCAGTTAAATCAGAGACATTTCCCTTCTTAACGTCTTAGATGGTTTCATTTAAAACCTGTTTGAGACTCAAGAGGAAATAGTATCCAGTTTCAGTGTGAATTCTAAACTGCCTAAAATGTTTGGAGACTTTGTTTTTCCTTCTTCCCTCCTCCATTAATAATCCCATGACCTACCTCCTGCAGCTACAGCTGTAAATGCTTCTTAAACATTTATGCATCAGTATAAACAATCTCCTAATTTAATTTATAATAATTGAATAATTCACAAGGGAAACTTCTGAGCAGAACACGTTGTTTTGTTGATACTAGTACATTTTTCTGATGATATGTATACAAAATAATCTTGAATGCAGGACTTGTATTGAAGCACTTTTACACTTAAAGGATCTGAATATTTGTTAAACTGCTGATTATCAGTCACATTGGGATTTATGTTGCTCATGCTCAACAATCTTCACTTGTTCATGAAGTTGTGTGAAAATGGCAAATGCTGACACCAAGTGACCAAACATGATATACATTTTGTTTGTTTAAATCATTTAGTTGTTTTCTTTAACATTGTTAGGTTGCAGCTGCAATTTAGATCCTTTTTGGGGGCTTCTGAAAACTCTTGAGTTTCCTTTATCAGCTGCTGAACATGACGTACATCTGTGCAAGCAAATGCATTTAGATGAACCTAATCCTGTGCCTCATATTGAAAGCTAAACCATTACAAGGATTAAAATGTCTCAGCTTCTGTATCATTGAAACTGTCCCATAGTTGGAGACACTAATCCCCCCCCTGCCCCTCTTTATATTGGTTTCCCTCAGTGCTAGTATCGTGTACATTTAAAAGCATCTCTCAGGTTTAAAGTGTGAGTCTCTGTTTTTTTTTTCCTTTGCTTGCAATTTAGTGTAACCCAATGTAACATAATATTCCAACAAGTTTATTCAGCTTTTATTTAGGTGGTGATTATTTTTGAGGAAACAGTTTGTGGCAGAAAGTAAGAGGAAAAACTTTGGAGCAGGAGACATTTCCCACCAGAATCTAACCGACTTTTAGACGGGAAGGAGTTACCTTCTGGAAATATAATTAAAAGAGGGCCCTGTACTATTTATGGAGGGAAATGTAGGGATCAAAGGATTTGGTTACTGAAAGCTAATGTTCCACATTGACTGGGTGGTGAAACTAAAATTACGTTTTTTTATTTGTATGAACACATTTTAAGAGTGGATTATGATGTTTGCATGGTAAATACAGTGTTTGTGTGAGAGTTTAGAAAGATAATTTCAAAAGGACTTCAAAAGATTTTTTGGTAACCATTGTGAAATAGTGTATCAAATGAATTCAATGTAATATGACTGCAAATTATAAACTGCCTTAAAAGTGTAATGCCTTTATTTTATCTGAGAATAATTCTGCTGAAACCATCATTTGCATAAATTAATTATATTGCCAAATTATGCAACTAAAAGGTTGGCTTTCCCCTATAGCTTGTGGACATTTCTCACAGTAGATTTCTGTAGAATGCACAATACACAACATAAACTTTGAAATAAACTTTAATAGATACTTACAAACAAATCTACAAGGTATACAAATAAAATGGAAGCGGCAAGCAAGGAAAATAAAGTGTGGCGCAGTGTGTCCGCATCCAGCTGAGTGCTGAATAAGGACCCTACCTGCACATTTAAAAAATACTAATAAACACTTCTATGATATGGCATCTGACAATCTGATCTTCTATTACATTTGTGCAGCACTTTGTGCGGATTGTCTTTTTCGGTCGTCATGGTGCCCTAAATCTGAAGTTTGGAGATTCAGGCACATTAGCCATTTACCTACATTGTCTGTTTCCAAACCCCCTTTACATGTCATAAAACACAAACACTACATCAATGGTTCTCAGCTATGTGCCTTTGAGACCCAAGAGTAGCAGGTTTTCATTACAAAGAACCACTTCAGTGGACATTTCATTGGTTAGTTTCCACTCTCTGGCTGAATATGTGCAAACCAGTGAAATCAGCTGATGGAGAGACTGGTTGAATTAAAAAACATTAACATCTGCACTCTTGGGCCCGTTCAGCATGTGGTTGAAATCTACTGCACTACAAGAAGCAGGAGTGACCGATTTAAAAAAAAGACGTGATTGTAATGAGAAATATTTCCTGCAGATGCATGCTACAAATAATCACAGTGACATTATCCTTCTGTTAACATTTCTGCTGATGTTGTTCCCGTCAGATGCATTGATGCAAAGCACACTTCCACATTAGAGAGGCCTTACAATGCAGTGGGAGTCGGAGCTGCTCTTCAGCTGCCTCACAGTGCATTCATCCACACTGCACTACAGACTCACTATGGGGTGGTCAGTATCTCCTGTCTGTGTTCAACCATTTAATCTAGTATTCATTTAAAAAAAAAAAATTCTACAAGCAACTACGATTTCATGTTATAATTCTCAATGTGAGAGGTTGACGTGTGTGTGCTGCCATCTTGTGGTCAGATGCCGTCAGTTCATTTCTGCACCAACTCCAAAAGTTTGATTTCCATCACACAATTTAAGCTAAATCAATAACAATTTAAAAGGCTACAATATATAAACTCATAATCTTTAAGCCTAGGGGACACAGAAGAGATACCGACCCCATGTGCCACATCAACCTAAAAACTCAGAGGTACACCAACATGGTGACTGTCAGGGCATCGTCTGGATCAGCATGTGCATAGTGCTCAGTGATTCCTGATTTTATAAAGTTAGAGAATAGAATTGCAAAGAGTCATAAAAACAGCATAAGAAACTCAAACGGTGTCCAAGACACAGAAGCATACTTGAAGGCTGAGTCAGTCTTTGAGGCTTGAGCAATGTTGTCAAACGGGTTCAACCCCAGAAGGATCCCAGAGAAACAGGAGAAGGAGATGAGGGTGTGCTGAGGGGGTGTGACTGTCCGCGGCGTCATTGGTAGAGCAGGTAGTTCTTGAGAGACTCCGGCAGGGGCAATCTATGGATTTCACCCAGGCGCTCTTTTCCTAATGCCACCCTCACCGAACGCCTACACAGGTCCATCAGAGAGAGGGGTTCAGCTGCAGGGAGACAAGAGGGGGAGAGGGGTGAGAGCATGTTTGGTGTGTTAGAAAGCAGTGTGTATATGTGAATATCCTTGGTTTACTTCTGTAACATAATTACATCACTATGCAACACTCGCGCTTCTATTGGCTGCGCTCTTACATATTGTACAAGGG